CAACCAACTTCTTGGCAACTATAGATGACCTGTTCTTGACACAGGCTATGGAGGGGCCGACTAGGAGTAAAGCCATTTTGGACTTGGTGCTGACCAAAGGGGAAGACATGGTAGGCGACCTGAAGATTGAAGGTACTCTGGGCGACAGTGATCACGATTTGATTAGATTCACCATCCACCAAAAGGCTGGAATTCTATCACCAGAACAGAAGTCCTAGACTTCAGAAAGGGAGACTTTGGTAAAATTAAGAATTTAGTCAGAAAGGCCCTACGCAACCAGCGACTGGATGATGTGGAAGTTCAGGAACAGTGGTGCTTCCTTAAGGAGGCAATTCTCACTGCTCAAAAAGAGGCCATCCCCAAGCAGTTAAAAAGAGGGGAAAGGGCCAAGAGCCTCACTTTGCTCAATAGGGACATTAGGGAACTTCTCACAAAGAAAAAAGAAGCATACATGCAATGGAAAAATGGTTCAGCATCCAGAGATGAGTACATCCATATGGCCAGGGTCTGTAGACATGAGACAAGGAAAGCCAAGGCATGCATGGAAATCAAGCTGGCAACCAAAATTAGAGATAATAAAAAATCCTTCTATAGGCACACAGGAAGCAAGAAAAAATCAAGCTCCACTGTGGCACCCCCTACTGAATACAGAGGGGAAGCCCACAGTTGATCCCCGCAAAAAGGCAGAGATCCTTAATACTTACTTCGCATCAGTCTTCCTGAAACCAGGCAAGAATTCGTCACCTGTCCAGAGGCCCAGAGAATATGGCGATGACAGCAGTCCACATAAAATCAGTCCCAAACAGGTGAAGAAACTCTTAGAACAGTTGGAAGTTTTCAAGTCAGCTGGGCCAGACAACCTACATCTGAGAGTGCTGAAAAAATGGCTGAACACATAGCAGTGCCTCTGGTGAGGCTGTTTGAAGAGTTGTGGAACTCAGGAGGGGTCCCTAATGACTGGAAGAAGGCTAACATGGTACTCATCTTTAAAGAAAGGGAAGAGGGAACTATAGTCTGGTCAGTCTGACTTTGGGAAAAATCTTTGAAAATTTTTTCAAGGAGGCCATCAACCACAAGCTTTTGCAATTGGTGAGGTATTGAGAAACAACCAGCATGGCTTTGTTGAGGGGAGGTCATGCCTAACAAATATGGTGTCTTTTTATGAGCAGCTGGACATGGGACAGGAGGTGGACATTATCTATCTAGACTTCAGCAAATCCTTTGATACTGTTTCCCATGAAATTTTCTAAACCAAGTTGGAGGGTACTGGCCTAGACCAGGCTATAGGAGGTGGGTTGGCAACTGGCTCAGAGGCTGATCCCAGTGAGTTGTTATTGATGGGTTGGCCTCATCCTGGAGGGCCATCTCCAGTGGTTTCCCCCAGGGATCAGTGCTTGGGCTCGTGCTCTTTTAACATCTTTATCAATGGCCTGGATGAGGGAGTGAAAAGTGCAATGATTAAGTTTACAGATGGCACGAAGCTGTGGGGACATCTGAGGACAGGGCAAGGATCCAGGATGACCTTGACAGGCTGGTCCTATGGGCTGAATGCAGTCAGATGAGGTTTAATAGGGACAAGTGCCCGGTCCTTCATTTGGGTAGGAAGAACCTTCACCATATCTATAAGATGGGTGGTGGTCCACTGACTGGCACTGTATCTGCAAGGGACCTGCAGGTGACAATTGACCAGAGGATGAATATGAGCTGTCAGTGTGATGAAGTCACCAACAGAGCAAATAGAACTCTGATGTGCATCAGCAGATGTGTTGCCAATAGATCCAGAGAGGTGCTTCTCTCCCTCTATTCGGCATTGTTAAGACCACAGCTGGAGTACTGTACTGGAGTACTCCTGCCCATGGCAGGGGACTGGACTTGATGAACTTACAGGTCCCTTTTGGTCCTTCTATTCTACAATTCTATGATTAGCTAGCATACCACAAACCTAGGCTCTGTGGGGCTGGTGTCTGTGCTGTGGGAGATGAGAGGGTAGGAGGGAGGTAAGGATTCCTGCTTGAGCAGTGAGGGGAAGGGTAGGGCAGGGGGAAGCCAGGCAAACCCTTCTGTACCTGCAGTCTCTGCTGAAGCTCCAGCCAGGGAGCAGAGGGGAGGGGCCAGCTCTGGTATGGAGCAGAGAGTCCCGCCAAGCCCAGAGAGCATGCTGGGATGCTGGTAGAGTCTGGTTTATCTTAAACCAGCAAGGGGTCTGGGACGGACATTGCATAAACCGTTTTGAGCCAAATCAGTTAAGTCTGATACTACATTCAACCAGGTTTATCTCAAACTGATTTCAGCCATTTTCAAACTGGTTTATGTGCACTGAACATCTGTTCTGTTACAAGTTTAAACCAGTTTCTGACCACTTAAACCTGTTTATATTTGTCCTTAGCTTGAAAGAATTTTTGCCTCCCTAGAGTGTCTCCACTCACATAGCCTACTGATCTTAAACATAGTCTGAACATAGTCTGCTCCCTCTGTCTGTTATTTTGTTGATGGAGACAAGGAGAGGGTGTCATCAGATACTGGAGGAAGCTTTCAAAATTAATAGTCAGGAAAGAACAAAGGTAGACGGAAGTGGAGTCTATCTGACCCCAAACCTCTGATGGAACAAAGAAGAAAAACATGCTGTATATGTAGGCATCCTTACCGTCCATGCACACAGTTCTTACACAAGTGTTTATTTGCCACTTGAACCTGTGTTTGCTTCCATGGTTGGAGGTATGGCTTAAAGCCCAAGCTTTACTTTAACTTGGACAGAAACTCATCTATTTTGTAATAGGAACATAGGCCAGATAATTCTATTGCTAGCAGTCTTCCAATGGCTTTCTTACAATTATTCCCTCAAGGATTAATACAACTGGCAGGAAAAAATCTTAGATCACTTCAGCACACAGAGCTATGGCACATGTCTTCACATATAAATGTGCAAGGATAGTAAAGACAGATAATACCTTGATATAGGAACAATGAGATCCAGACTCAGAACTGGGTGTCAGTCACCATGTCTCACTGTATACGGAAGTCTGCACTGTATGTACTAGGCAGGAAGATACAGAACAGTTGCACTGAGAATCCTGCGCCTCAGCTTTCTCCTCATCCATATTACTATTTCCTTCCCATAGAGATTAAAGGAGTTGAGGAGAGGCAGGCTTGAACCACAAGTCATTTTGGGATCCAAATTTCCTCTTATTTGAACGGTTTGGAGGGCCAGCTGTAAAGTCTGAATTCCATTTGAATCTAGCGAGACATTTGGGGTGTTTTGTAACTTGCGTTTTGGGTCAGGGGCCTGTCTGGAAACAAGTAAAAACACAAGAAATAGAGCAATATAATCATCATGAAGTTTGCCACACACACACACACACACACACATATATATATACATTTCTAGATTTGAGTAATCTACTATGTAAAAGTTACAAATGTTTTAAATATATTTGAGGACAGTCAGTATAGGCGTTGGTGTAAGAACACCATTGTAAGTGCTTATCTTTCTGTAATCCTTTCATTGTGTCTTTAATCTCTCCTTTCTCTGAACTAAGATGGTGCTAAATGCCAGGATAATAACTTAGGCTTCGAGTGCTGTGCAGTGGACAGTCAGGTAAGAAGGCAGAAGACAGTGATACAGGCTGTATTCCCAGTTCTACTGGTGTACAGTGTCTTGCTGTGCTAGGTGCAGGACTGAAAGTTAGCAGATCCCCAGGGGGCTGACTGGGACTTAGGTGCGCTAATTCAGTGCATTTCCCAAGCTGCTTTGTTAGTGTAGAACTTCTGGTGCTAGAATAGGCTCATGAGTCTACTCTCATGTGGTAGAATCCATAGCAGAGATTAAAAAGGGAGGGTTGAGAGATATAACTTTTAGTTACCCCAGTGAGATGGTTTGTATGTCAGGTGTGTATCGTTAGCCCCACTTTCTAGTTTCAGAGTAAGAATTTTGCAAACATTGACCTAGTTCATCTGTCTTGCAAGTCAGCCTAATTCAACCTATGTTACAGCAGAAATTGAGCCTGTCCTTTCATGTGTGTTTCCATTTTTGTTAACAGCAATTTGTACCAGCAACTGATACTCAGCTAATAAAACATGGGATTAATTTCTAGTGTGTAACTGAGCAAAACTTTCCAGAAATTGACCTTTAGGAGCTAGCAGGCAAAGACTTCACTGTAGTGTATATAATAAAGTCAAACATAAACTATAGCTCTTAGCATTTGCTCAGTGCTCATATTCTTATCTGAGATTCCCTCTGCATTACTCATAAAAGCTCTTTGTGAATAATTACAATTTTCTAAACTCTTCTCAGGTTCTGCTAGCCAGGTACAAGTTGGACACAGTAGCAAATGGTCATAAACACATAATCATACTTATGTAAGTCTGAAAATGGAGGTACCATTTACAGAGCTGGACAGAATACAAAAATGTTATGAATATATTTGACATGTTTCAAAATTAATGTCTTGTATCATGCTCATGTTCAGTATTCCTGAAATGTGTCTGGAAAGAGCATTTCAAAGATGCACAAGTATTCATTGGGACTCAACTTTATATCAGCGTATACAAGTCTCTGTGACAAATGTGCTTAGTTGTTTTGTTTACCTTCATGGGGAAAAACAGGACCATGTGTCTTATCAGACCAATCAAAATTAAACAGTGGAGCTCAATTTTCAATTTGTAATATGTTTATGTATTTAAAAAAAAGCACTGAATGTGTTTGAATAATACTGTAAAGGGTCAGGGCTAGAAAAAAATGCAATCCATTGAACAGTCTGGTGAGAGTGATTCATTTGCCTCTACAAACTTCTATGAACTATATGGGAATGTGGCATTTACCTCTGTTTTTAGGCTAGCATGCATCTGTTTAGAATTAGGATCACCAAATAAATCCCAGTTTATAATTAACTGATTATTTTCTTCTTTCAGTTAAAACTCAACAAAAAATCATGGCTTAATTTTTTGGGGGGCGGTTTTCAGATGGAATCTAATTGCTCCTTCTTTTTTCTTCTGAGTATTAGCACCCCAATCTGATGAAGGCTCTGACATAGATTCTGAACCAGATTTACCTTTAAAGAGAAAGCAGCGCCGTAGTCGAACAACTTTCACCGCAGAACAACTAGAAGAACTGGAAAGAGCGTTTGAGAGGACCCATTACCCTGATATATACACACGGGAAGAACTTGCACAAAGAGCCAAACTTACTGAGGCTCGAGTTCAGGTACCTGTTTAAAAAGCTACCTAAAGAAAAAAGTCTCCTTTCCATCAATGTGTTGGGTTAGCAGAAAGCTTAGGGTAATTTTATGTTCTTGCGTGATTGCAATCCAGGAAAATGAGAAACTAGGTATTATAAAGATCATGTTTTTTATGTTTACCTGTGGACACTGGTTCAGTACTTTATATAACCCTTTATTTAATATGCAATTTTGTTCCGTAGTCTCTGTCTAGTTTCTAAGATTGTTTGGTTTGTGTTTCTGACAGCACTGCATATGATTGGTGTCAGTGTTTTGCCAATGTATAGTTATTTGGTTAGTGTCACCTGCTATTTCTTTGGGTCTGTCAGACAGCAACAGGGAAGAGAGAACCATTACCAAAAAAATATACAAAACAAACAAAAAAATGCAGAGCACAAAACAAAACCAGGAACATTTCACTATAAAATCACAGAAGTTGTTAGGGTTATTTGGTTAGGCGAGGTACCTGAACTATTTGCAATTTAACATTTGGAGTAAGAAAGATTATTGGTTTTTCTTTTTATCTCCACTCATTTTAATGAAACATTTTAGATGTCTAGATTTTCAAAATATGGATGTGAATTGATTTAATCTTCTAGTGGATGTGAATTGTTTTAATCTTCTCGTGGAGAGGCTTGTTAAATTCTTTAAAAAAGGCTGGGTCTGCAAACCTCCACAAATGCCCACATTCTCAAGTGAACTTACGTTAGTGAAACATGTTCTGCTTCAGCACTGCTGAGGAGAGTTCCATGAAAATCAAGGACCCACCGAAGCCTAGGAGATTGTTGGGCAAGTGTAACTAAGGGGCCAATTTCTGGCACAAAAGGGGTGTCATTAACACCACAGCCCAGGTGGCTTTGATTCCCCAGCCTGAATGAACAGGAATCCATTTATAACTGGGTAGACTGGGGCACCCTTTAGCACAAATCTGGAGTAGAGCTGAATGCACAGCTCAGGGGCCTTAAAATGTCTTAAGCACTCCACCATTACATTCCAGTGCTTTAAATGCTCACCACCAAACCCAGGACCTTGCAAAACTTTCCAGGGTTAGGGATCCATTGCTAGGCAAAAGATCAATTTTGCTGAAGTTGGTAAATCATCTGAGAGAGTGAACGTTCACTTTTAGCTGGTCTTTGAGTTTCAAACAAACTTGAAGCAATGTATGGTTTGGGTGTTGAAGTCATGCAAAATGTGTGGTTGTGCATAGTTTGGACAAGAAAACAGGTAAATTTGGGTTGTTTGACAGAATTTTGCTTTGATGTTTTGAGTTATTTTAAACCTAAACCTGAGGCAATTAACCCCCTTATAAATTGAAACAAACAACCAAAAATACTGTATTGACTCTTGCAGAATATGCATGGCAGTTGCAACAATGCTGTATTGTAAGTATAATTCTTCAAGCTGTCAGACTTTTACAGATGTTATAGTTGTGAAGGAAAATCAAGAGTGTGGGTACATTTGTTCAGAAGACAAACTGCATGGGGTATAATTCTATTAATTATTTGATACATTTACTTAAGGCTGAAATGCTAGCAAAATGGAAACAGGATCCTAAATGAAATTGCACTAAACCAGACTGAACTGGAGGGCTGAGAATGGGATGTGTTGTGCAGAAATATAGGAACTATAATTTTCTGCTCTAGGTCTGTTTGGAGTAGGGACAGATAATGATGTATTGGGTTGTCTGAGTTTTAAAGACAAATGTGACAAACCCATAAAAAAGTTGTTCATATTTTTCTAAATCAGTGACCCACAGTTAGAAGGAAAGCAGAACTCTCATTAACATAACAGCTGTCTTAATGTGGCTTTAACCCTGTGACTTTTTACATTCCTTATGGCTTCCTCTGCTCCCTTGAGACCCATTTTGTCTTACACCACTGCTATGATTTACAGCCTCACAAATTCCCTAGTACATCTAACATATGGATCTTTTACCTATCCCAGCATGGGAGGAAAGATTGCAGTCAATCAATGATTAAAATACCAAAACAAAACCCTTTTTGGATTAAAGATGAGTTTGGGCTGAAATAGCCAGCCTGTGGGCCCTTGCTTATGATTTTTCTATCTCTCTGGTATCTTAGGGCACCTATACGTGTGCTGGATGTCTGCTGCAGTGTGTGATAATGAGCATGCATTGGAGCAGACTTGATTAATCGAGTCTGCTGGAGCGTGTTAATTATGCGCTCCAGCAGTCTCCATATCACATCTATTCAGCGTCCCCATGCTTCATAATAGTGGTGGGGGTGCTTGACCTAAAGCTCACTGGACAAGCTTTAGTTCAAGTGCCCCTTCCTACCACACCCACTGTTTTGAGGCACGGGATCATGACGCTGTGGGTGCTTTAATTAGAGCAGCTGTCAGAGCCACTCTAATTAAAGTGCCCCCCGACCTCCACCGTGGAGCATGTGTATAGACTCCCTCAAAGTCTGACAAAATGGTACTGGATTTGTCACTGGATAAAGATTGCTGTCAGCATTGCCTTATTACTCAACACCCCTGTAAGTGGCTTAAAACAGAAACTTTTGAAGGGCATGTTATAAAAGAAAAATCAAAAAGAAAAAAAAAGATTTGAGGATTTGAGGATGAGAAAGTACATATCTATATTGACAATTTGGGGCCTGTCTATATTGGGACAATTTTCTGGACAATCTCAAAACCTAGTCTACTAAACTGATACGAAAAGTGTTTAGAGCTCTAACAAAGATCCCAGTGTAGATGCATCCTTTGAAAAAGGAACATTTCAATATGGTGCTTAATTTTTGTCTAGGATCCAAGCTCAGTTTAATGTGGGCAAGGGAGAAGGCCAGTTATAGCTCTGCAGTCTGTGGTGGCCAATGGACTACTTCAATTTAATTTAGGCCACTCTAATCTAAGTAAAGAATTTCACATTAGTGGAAGACTGGTTGGAGCAATGCTTTAGTCCTCTGCTTGCTTCCCACCCTGCTCTCTTCATGTCGCTTCCCACCCCAGGCATACCCTCTATAGTCTGAGGCTACAGAAGGGCCAGGTCACACCTGACAATTAGACTTAATGCTTTGACAGGACATTCATAGTCAGTTGTAGAGAAGTTCAGTTGCACATTATCTCTGCAGCCCGCCTCTGTATTTGAGGAATTTTGAAGAATGTTGCCTTTGTGTTGTACATAAAAGCCTGGGATACATGTGATTCCCATCTAGTCTCTGTTCCAGCAATATAATGTATCCAATTTCTAAGCTAGTCTTTAAGAAATATGTAGCTTTTAAGATATGACAACTTTGTATCTTTTCTAATAGTTTCTGAATAGAGCAACAATTTTACATTTGAAAATCAATATATCTGGAAGAGATTAATCCAGGAGCGGGCAAAATACAGCCCATGGGCTGGATCTGGCCCGCCAGGCACTTTCATTTGGCCTGTGGTGCCCACCAACTAATTGTACCCTGCCCGGCCCTTCCACCTACGAGAGTAGGAGTGAAGCACCCACATACACCCCTTCCCACCAACATACTCAATTGCACCTCACTCCCACCCTTGTGGGCGGAAGGGCTGGTCAGCATATAGCTTCTGGGTGGAGCTGCTGCTTGCACTGCTGCAACCACTGGGGGACCTGCTTAGTTTCCCTGGCATCCTGCTTGCTCCCGGCAGCAGGTAGGGAAGTGGCAGCAGGAGCTACAGCTGGTAGGGGGTGGGGGCAGGAGCTACAGCTGGGCAGGAGTGCAGAGCATGGGGCTGGTGCCTGGTGGCATGTGGCTCTGGCCAATGTTGCACGTAGGGGCAAGGAGCGCAGCCTGGCTGGGCCACCTTTATCACCAGGGCTCCCCGCTGTGCATATGCAGTTCCAGGCACTCATGTGCCACCGGAGCGAAGCTCCATGTGCTGTAGTTGGCTGCCTTTGCCGCTTCCTGCTGCACAGGTCCCGGGACTCCGCTGGAAGTGGAGGGCCCTCAAAAGCTCACCAAACATCATTAAGTGGCCTTCCAGCCAAAATAATTGCCTGCCCCTGGATTAATCAAATGTGGTGAAGGAATGTAAAGTATATGTCCTTTTCATATGACTGAATATGATCTTGAAAGTAGCAGAAGTTTGTTGTAGCAGTGCAAAAGGAGGTGCAATTTGATTTGCATGTTTCAGCCACATATAGTCAGACTTACAATGGGGAACTGTAGTTAGGACCTCTCTCCAGTTTGGACTCAGTGGTGTGATCTTCATGTGTGCTCCCTTGCAGTAGGGGTATAATTTGGCTTTCATTCATTCAGTGAATGTGATAAAATTGAACAGTATTCCCGAGGGTGTTTTTCCTTAAGTAATTGATGGATGCAGGAAGCATTAACTCAGTGGGGTTTTTTTGGGGGGGAGGGGTTTTTTTTTTGTATCTTGAACTTACCTTAATTTTTTTGCTTTTAAAAAAGCATTTTAAGCTACCATGTAAGTAGAGTCCCTTGGAAGTAGAGGTTAGCAAGGGGCATACTGATGAAATCTATGCTCTTGTACATGCTTGTATATGCATTGGGGGTTTAATTTGCTTTAGTTCTCCCTAAATTGAAATGGAGGATTTAAAACCCCCCCACCATTTCCACTGTTTCAATTTATGCTGGTGGGCTGAGTGGTCCCTGAGCTGCAGGGGATCCTGGTGTTTCCCTCTGTGGCAGTGCCGCCCCCCAGGCAGCACCTGCCAGCTGGCACCTGGCCTGGGCAGTCCCTGGGTGCACCGCAGCCATGGAGGGAAGCACCAGGCCTCTGCGCAGCTCAGGCAGGCAGGCTCTGAGAGAAAAAAAATTAAAAAATCAGGGTCTTCGCCACTTTTTCTTTTTTTTCTTCAGTGGATCCTGCCTGCACCGGCTGCTGCTGGGTGTCACAGCCCCTGAGCTGCGCGGGGTCTGGTGCATCCCTCTGTGGCTATGGTGCCCCCCTCCCCAGGACTGCCTGGGGCAGGTGCCAGTGGGTGGGTGCTGCCTGGGGCGTGCTGCCATTGTGGAAAGAAGCACTGGAGTCCCCCACAGCTCAGGGA